CAACCCTGTGAATTGCATGGGAAATAATTCCCTTTTCATTCCCAACCCTGTGAATTGCATTTGAAATGTGCAAGTCCATCTTCATCACCCTGCCCAAAAAACCTGGTGCAAATAAATGCGAAAGAGAAGAATCGGAATCGCGAAATCTTCCTTTAAAGCCGTAGAGAAACTTCTGATAAATCGAACCCTGAAGAAAGAAACAAGGATAAGGCTTCTGAAGTGTTACGTTTGGGCTACCCTTCTTTATGTATGCGAAACCTGGACTGTTAGCGAGAGTATGGATAAACGACTGATTGCAGCGGAGATGTGGTTCTTACGACGTATGTGGAAGGTTCGCTGGTATGATAAGATCACAAACGAAGAAGTCCTAACAATTGAGACAATTGAGCTTCTTAGGCCACGTTCTAAGAAAAGAAGGCCTTGAGGGACTTGAGGGAATGTATGGAAGATAGGAACATGGAATGTCAGAACCCTGCATCAGGAAGGAAAACTGGATAATGTTATACAGGAGATGGAAAGGCTGAAGATTGATGTGCTTGGTTTGAGTGAAGTGATCATTTAGTGAGATGGACAAAAGCAGGCAAAATGCATAAAGAAGGGATGACCCTAGTGTATTCAGGAACACAAGATCGCCACGAATATGGTGTAGGCTTTCTCCTAGGGAAAAGATCTTCCAAAGCCCTGATGGGATATTGGCCAGTCTCGGAACGAATTCTTATGATCAAGCTTAATGCAAAACCTTTTAAGGTAACCTTAATTCAGATATATGCTCCAACATCAACAAGTTCCGAAGAAGATATTGACAATTTTTATGAACTCCTGGACGAAACTGTGAGACAATGCAAGTCACAAGATATCGTTTTTGTCATGGGAGATACAAATGCCAAAGTCGGCCGAGGTAAATGGAAAGATATAGTCAGTCCCCATGGACTAGGAACACGAAACGACAGGGGAGATAAGCTCGTTGAATGGTGTGATAGATATGATCAAGTCATCCTTAACACCTGGTTCCAACATCATCCCAGGCGACTATGGACCTGGAGAAGCCCTGATGGGAAAACAAAAAACCAAATCGACTACATAACCATTGACAAGAGATTCAGGAACTCAGTTTTTAAAACCAAATGCTATCCGGGCGCCGACTGCAATAGTGATCATGTGCCGGTCGTTTGTGGATTGAGAGTAAAACTGAAGAATATCACCCACAGGAAAAAGACTCCAAAAAGAGATCTCCGATTGCTCAGGGAAGACAAGAATGTTAGATCGAAATTCCAAGAGGAAACATTTCCGAAGATAGAAATCGTTGAGAGAAATCAGAGAAACTCGGAGGAAACATACAGTGCTTTGCAAGACATTCTAGTGAACTCTGTTGAGAAGGTGGTACAAAAAGAACAGGGCGGTAAAAAGCAAGATTGGATGACAGAAGAAATTCTACTACTTATGGAGGAAAGAAGATTATGCAAACAAGATAAACAAACCTACGATCGTTTAGACCGTGAGATTCGTAGAAAATGCTTTGAGGCCAAAGAGAAGTTTCTAAATGACCAATGCCAAGAGATTGAGACGCTT